CCACCAACAATCACTCCTCAATTCTCACCCCATCTACTTTCTTAATAAAGGTCCCATTCCTTTCTTAGAAATCATTGATTATTTACAACAAAAAATGTGGATTTGCCATCTTTGCTTTGTCGTTGCTTCACTTGTCTTCTCGTTTTTCTTCATTCCCCCGCCCCTTATGATTCCATTTTATTTATTGAGATAGCAACAAATTTATGGATAATTGATCATAAGATTTTAATCTTTAATATTTGTCCTTGCATGCAGATCTCCCTATCCATATTTATGTATACCAAGTTATGTTAGTAGACTACCAGTATGCTTTCTTATAATGGAGAACAAATTAGTAACTTTGATTGAGAGGGAGGGAACACTTACCTTTGATGGACCAAATTCTTTTAATCGAGAAGGACACTAGAACAAAATATTGAAGCAAGAGCATTAAGACGAAACAATAAAATAAACAAAGTTTGAAGTTTTTTGAATCTTTGACTACGTGTCGCGATGAGGATGAGTTAGGGTGACAACCATTAAAGTGAGCTTCAAATTGACAACCTACTTGTCTACCATGGGAAATCCCCTCTTTCTTCTTGATTTTAAACCGATGGTCGAGATCAAGTTATTGAGACTAACCGACACTTACACCGTTCACTCCTACTCTTTAGAAAAGCTAGTGATAAGAATCCACAAAGAGAATGGAAGTTTAAGCATTTAACGCACAAATAAATTAAACCCTAAGCCTTCATTTCTTTAGATAGAAAATAATCCCTAAGCCTTAAGCCCTACTTTTTTTTGTCTGTTTTAACAAGATAAGACTAGGGAATGGCCGGACAATAAATTAACAAAACTTACAATAACCAAGAATGGTAGTTCGTTCGCAACCAGACTCTCGATGGAAGAGTATGTTTTGACACTAGATGAATAGTTTTGTCGAAACTTCGAGAAGCAAAAAGATACAAAAATCATTGTGATAAATAGAAAATGAAGCATACTTCCTCCACAATTACCCCTTACCTGAGAGTGATAAACTATTGTGACTGCATCAAAACGTGAAAGCAATGGAGAGAACTCCTACAAAACAATACAAACAAAATGACACATCATGAAAATACAAAACTCTATCACAAGAAATAAGAGCAGACCCTTGAGGTACAATCATAATTACTGAATGCAACAACCAAATTTATTGCATAAAGGATAATATTGAGGATCCATTGGGAAAAGTCTCTTAATCCCTCCTTTAAAATTGACTAAAAAAGAATTTCAAAATTCTAAAGTTCGAACTTGGCTATACAACCTGACATTTTATCCCGCCTAAGTGTAAAGGAAGAAAAAATCACACCTAAACGAATTAGTTTGAGGAAGATCTTTTTTTTAGTAATAATTAGGGTAAATACAATTTATTAGGTAAATCTCTTAAAATTTTCAAATTATTAGTCAAACCTTTCAAAATACGAAATATTAGTAAAATCTTTTGTAACACATCAAAATATTAGCCATTTTTTTGTCATCGTTAGTAATTTTGTAATTCATTTCTTAGTCAAAATACTAAAATTTTAGAATGTTGACATCAACGTGTCTCTTCCAAGTCAATATTGCTAACAAAACTGCTAACTGAAATTTAACAGTTGGCTAATATTTTATATTTTGAAAGAGTTGGCTAATAATTTGAAAATTTTGAAAGGTTTAGCTAATAAATTATATTTTACCATTATTTTTATTATTTTGCGTTATAAAAAAGTTCAAACTAGCTGAAAAGGTCTAAACAGGGCACACTAAAAAAATTGGCACATGTAAATATATAATGGTGGAGATGTGATTATTTAGATTGATAAATTTAGGATGTAGCTAATTAGTAACTTGGACAATATGTTCGTACTGTTCACTTATAAGATCGACCTATTTGGACAAAACGGTCGACCTCTTCACTAATATGGTCGACCTATTTGGACAAAATGGTCGACCTCATTGTTGGAATGGTCGACCAGATGTACTATTTTCCATTTTGCTATGCTCAACAAACCGTCAACCTCTTCCACTAAAAGGCACAATACAAAAAAATAGTAGCCCTGACAATCGGGTCCGGTTGGGTAATTTCGGGTTGGGAACTTCGGTTACGGGTCGGGTCATGTTTGGTTGGCTTATTTCGGGTTAACTATAGACCCAACCCATTCGGTTTCAGGTTGGGTTACAGGTCATTTCGGGTTATGAGCGTTCTCAGAAACAATATCAAACATGCTTCATATTTTCTTAAAGAACACAAATTTTCACATATGCATGACAATAGTTTACCTAACACATGTCAATTAACATATTCTCAAATCCTCCCATGCTAATGAAATGAAATATAAATTGCGCAAATCGTCAAAAAACAATCACAATAGTAATCTACTACAAGAAACACATGATATTTGATTATCCTTAAACTCCAAACATGTCATTCAAATCCTGTGATTTTTTTTAAACATCTCACCAATTTATGAGTGATTTTATCATATTTTGGGATTAATATATTAACTGGAACGGGTCTAATGGGTCGACCCGCTAACCCACCCAACCCTACCCAAAAAATCACGGGTTATCGGGTTCGGGTCATTCGGATTTCGAGTTACAAAAATTTCTAGTTTTCGGGCGGTTTCGAGTCGGGTTGTAATTTGCCAGGTCTAAAGATAGTCTACCACTTCCATCAAGTGGTCTAACTCTTTTTCCAAGCGGTCCACCTCTTTAAATAATTGATCCACCTGATGAACCATTCCTAGTGATATCATCATATATAATTGGAGTCCAATAACAATAAATATGATTTATAGTAAGAGATATAAAATTAGTTCAAAGGCTGCAAACATAGATGACAAGTTTCTCGAGTGATTGTTCTCAAGTAGATTTGAAAAATGTTCCGCATATTTATTTCTTATATTTGGCTTACTTTATAGAGATTTTCATATTTCCTTCAAATTCTAAGTTTTCTTGTTTCTATCTTATAGTTGCCATGTGATGGATCAACTTTGTTGCTATTGTTGTTATGAAGATTCTTAAAAAGGAGTAGATTTGTTATACAATTGTGTCATCTTCGACGTACATATATCTCATATCATCACTTTTGTATAATTTTACTACGGAAGAGTTAAAAGATGGTGTTTCTTTTTGTCTTGGCCTATAATCTGCGTAGGGATTCGGTTGCCCATAATTGATAGGATGTTTCGTAACTACAAAAATAATTTTATATTGTTGATCTCCTATTGTCCATTATTTTCCTAATGTAAGTATAAGTTAACTGTGTTATTTGGTCGACTATTCACCGAAAGCAAAGATCATTTGTCGAAAGAAATATGTAAACCATATTGCGGAATCGGTAGACAGTTTTGGCGGAAGCGGTCTACCTCCTCCAACAAGCAGTTGTAAGTTGAAGATAAGTGTGTCACAGGTCGACCCATTGCCAGAAGCGGTAGACCGGCTGCCTCAAGTGGTATGCAACTTGATGGAAGAGGTCGACCACTTAAAGTAATTGTGTCATCAGCTCAACCCATTTCCGAAACGATAAACAGGTTGACTCAAATGGTAGACCACTTGATTGAAGAAGTCGACCACTTGGAGAAAGTTATTGTGGTTGAGAACGTGGTTTCAAGTTGACTGACTGGGAAGGCTACCCTATGCAGAAGTTCTCGATTAACAAGGTCCGAGAATATTTAAGACCTTACTGTAACACAAGTTGAATGGTATAAAGTGTTTGTGGGGCAAGTGGGTAGTACCAAAATGAAAGACATTATTGTTGTTGAAAGACGTATAAATTATCCTTCGGACCAAATTCACAAGAATCATGGTTTAATAGATATTATAGGATTAAGGATCGGATCAAAATTACATTCGGTTTGTTTTGGTCCGATCTCAATATCACTTTGGTTCAATGTTTCTTCAATATTTATAAAATTCATAAAACCAAAAACAGGAGCACATTATATTCGATTCGTTATAGTCCGATCCAGACATTGATTTGATGTAGTGCACACCCCTACTAATAATAACTAAATTAGCTTTATCTTACTTGCCAACATGACAGATAATTCAGCCTGCAAGTATTATTAAGTCCCAACTAATTCCTTGTTTAGGTGGGCAAAAGGAGGAAGAAATATTAATCAATATAGCACGTGAAAACGTTCCAAGTATATACCAAAACAAGAAATGTTCTAAGTTTTTCAACAAGCAACCAAACAAGGCATAATCTCCCTGTTTCAATTAATTAAATGGCTTCTTCCATGCCCTATCCACAAGTTGCATAATTGCATTGCCTTCCTTTTAAAGCTATAACGAGGAAGATGACTGTGAGAGGCCAAACTTTGACCAATAAATCTCCCAAGAGGTTGTCAACCGCAGGTAGACTCGTCGGTTGGCCCACTTTGATCCTGATCCGATCAGAAAAATGAGTTGTACATACTTGTCAGATCAACCGTTGCAAGGTACCGGGTTGAATGTTAAATTGTGTCGTTTTTTTCTTTAATTCAAGAAATGTGGCTATTTTTCGGTTCTGTTTTTTGCTTAACCCAATCTTGGAAATTCTAAGTTGAACATTTGAATATTTATGTTATATAAGTGTGTCTAAATTTTCACTATATGTTGGATCCAAATACGCCATGTTATTTTAGTGTAATGGTATATGTCATTACTCATATATTATATAAGATTTGATATAATTTATAAATATATTAACAATATAATTACTTTTTTTATATATCCGGACTAAAACGATCGAACCATTAACTCTCAACTCACTTACTCGACCTGGCCAACGAGCTTAAACCGGATCGACAACCTTCCCAACAACATTCATGTCCCCATCATTTCTCTGTTGACTATTGAAATCTTGGGCCGATGTGCAAGCTTCCTAAAAAAAAACTCCCTCGATTCCCATGTTTTACATAGATTATGTTCCAATTCGCTATATCTTTGCTTATCTATTTCAGCCACTATGTATGTATATAGCAAGAGCTTTTCCATGCTTCTACAGTTACCCAAAAATGAAGATCAGCCAGCAGTCAATGGCGGCCCTGGTGTTTGCTCTACTGCTGATCACTCTAGCCGGACAATCAGCAGCAACAGCTTCATCCGTCATCGTCATAGGCGCCGGAATGTCAGGTCAGCACCACATACTGACCGCACGTTATATGCACTCGACTCATAATCGTCATATTATTTTTAATCAAAACTCTTCCGCGCGCGCGTCAGGGATTTTCGCTGCAAAGACGTTGTACGAAGCTGGGATAACGGACATTGTGATGCTGGAAGGCAGCTCGAGGATCGGCGGGCGAATGATGAAGGCAGAGCTCGACGGTTACACCGTCGAATTCGGCGCGAATTGGTTCAACACCGGAGGTCCCCTGCAGAATGCTGTAGCTTCTCTAGCCAACAAGACGAAGCTCAGATCTTCTCGCAATGGCAACCTCAACATGTCAGCAAACACCTACGGACAAGAGTGCGTTTGTAAAATTCCAACTAGCTCGAAATTAGACAGTAGTATATTATTATACATTTGTTGAACTTTCTTTACATTTTGGTGAAAAACAGAGGAAGTTTGTACCCCAAGCAATTGGTGGATCAAGTCCAGAAGGTTGCATCCGATAAGGAAAGTTTCTACGAAAGGTATTCTGCAGTACTGAGTTCCATTTCCAAAGCTGAGGGAGTCGACATTGATGTTTCTATCCTGGAAGCGCAGAGATTGCTTGGAAAGTAAGCAACAACATGTCCTGATTTGGGTTATCTTATTTGGACAATCATGTCGATTACAGAGTGATAATGAGTTGCTTGCCTCCTCTGTTTTTTTCTTCTTCTTCTAGTGTTCCATCGAGTTCACTAGAAATGGTGATGGACTACTTCAACAATGACTACGAAGATGGAGATCCCCCCATGGTTTCAAGTTTGAAGCACACATACCCTCGTCGCGAGGCCATGGACCATGGCGATGTGACCAATTTCGTGTGCGATCGGCGAGGGTTCGAGGTTTTGGTTCAGGATCTTGCACGCCAGTTCGTCAACCGTAGCAGCAAGCACCCCAAGCTCTTGCTCGACAAGGTTACGAAAGCTGCTGAACATATACCTCTTGTTAAAGCGCGAAAACAATCGATATTGTTCGAGTCCAATTAAAATCGACCCTTCTTTTTCAGGTTGTTAAGGAGATATTCTACACGACAAACAGAGGAGTCAGGGTCGAAACAGAGGACGGGTCTACTTACCAAGCTAAGTACGCCGTCGTGTCTGTCAGCCTCGGCGTGCTTCAGAGTAACCTCATTCGCTTCGCTCCGACCTTACCCGTGAGTTCCACCACGAACCAAAAAAAAAAAAGAGCTCTCTCTCCAAGTTTTTCATTGGTTAGTGCCGTTGATATTTTGATTACGGAACTCAACCCCTGTGTGTGATCAGCGGTGGAAGACCGATGCGATATCGAGCTTCGACATGGCGGTGTACACCAAGATTTTCTTGAAATTTCCTTACAAGTTCTGGCCCGCCGGTCCTGGAACCGGGTATTTTCTCTACGCCCACGCTCGTCGCGGATACTATCCAGTATGGCAGGTAAAAAAAAAAAAAATCGATCGAACTCGCGCGACACATCGGAGGGTTTCGATTTCGTTTTATTCATCTTAGATGCCACGAACTCAACCCTGTGATCAAAATGCAGCATCTGGAGAACGAGTATCCAGGGTCGAACATACTGTTTGTCACGGTAACTGGGGACGAGTCGAGACGGGTCGAGAGATTGCCGGGCGAAGACGTACAGAAAGAGGCCATGGATGTGCTGAGAAAGATGTACGGGAGTGGGATTCCGGAGCCAGAACGGATCTTGGTGCCGAGGTGGGCGATGGACAGGTTGTATAAAGGAAGTTACTCGAACTGGCCAAATGGTTACACCAAAGCCAAGCACGACCAACTTCGGGTAACTTTTTATCTAAGTGTGTGATTGATGTTAGTGTGTGGTATAATGGTATATGATCCACGATTGAACCTCTCCCAACAACTCGAGTTATTGGGAGCAACTGGTTCTTGACATGGTATCAGAGCCTTCTGTGACCGAGAGGTCTTGTGTTCGATTCCCGGTGACCCCCATTTGTTAAGCACATGGTATTGAGGTATTCAGACTGTGCAAACTTCAAGCCCTTGTGAGTGGCTTTCGTTTGAGGGGGCGTGTTAGTGTGTGGTATAATGGTATATGATCCACGATTGAACCTCTCCTAATAACTCGAGTTATTGGGAGCAACTGGTTCTTGACAATTGAACTATATATCAGTTTCCAAAATGGTAATTAACATGGTAAATGGTGTGTAAAAAAAAAAAATTGTGTGCAGGCTCGGGTGGGTTCTGTTTATTTTACTGGAGAGCACACCAGCAGTAAATATTTTGGTTACCTGACTGGAGCTTACTTAGGAGGTTGGTTGGTTGTCTCAATACTTCAAAATTATTTGCCATTTTGGGCGTTCCAGGTGGTCATTTTGCGAGTTTTTTCTTCTTCTTCTTCTTATGTTGTTGCTCATTGCAGGAATCGACACTGCTAATGATGTAATCAAATCAATCAAGGCTGAACAAAGAGTGAGATTATCTCGCAAAAGTCGTATGGATATCAGATTTGAAAAATGATGATTGTACGAAGCCACAATTGTGAATTCCTTCAAAAAAATATGTTGATTGCGTTTGAATTGTACGGTGGATTTTTTTATATATATATATATATATTAGTTGAGAGATTTCCATAGAAACTAACTTACAACCCTAGTAACAGTGTGACTGCAACCTCGCTCGATTACTAAATTGAATTTGATACACTTTTTTATCATTTCCTTCGCGAGACAGTTTGGACGAGTCGTTAGAACTCTTGCTGATGGACGATATGCATTTGAAATTGTTTATAACCGGTGATAGATTCAGTTCTAAACTAGTGTATTGTATGTCCTGTTAATTATTATATTACGTGAACGGTTCCATCAACAACGATTAATCGTTAAACCATGCATAAACCACAATTTTTTTTTTCTTTTTTCGATTTAGCTGACTCATCTGGTTATGTGGAAACAGAGGGTTGCAAGTTGGCAACTATAGGATTGAGTATCTCTAGTGTGAAGGCAAGGTTAATAATATACCTAATACAAGAGTGAAGGGCGAAGAAACCAAATCCATCAAGCCAACCAACCCATTCATGCAAGTAATTGCATATATACATATATAGTTTTTCCCGCCCAAGCGATTCTCTGGCATTGCTGCTCTATATATATATAATTATATACGTACCCATTTGCACAATCTTTCATTCAGAGGACCTTGATCGTGATCGGAGATGGCGATGAGTCAAAGAAGTACAGGTAGTAGCTTTCGCGGCGGACGAGGAGGATTTAATCTCTACGGCCGGCAACGGCAGCAGCAGCAGCGGCAACTCCCTCAGCCGCGACCCTTCCGCCCTCCGGCTCCGGTGACTCCTCCGCCGCCGTCGGAGGAAACGTTTCAACCCAAAGCGGTAACCGAGGAGCTTCATGATGATCATCACTCCCCTTCCTTCCTTCTCCGCCTCCTTCTCCCCGGTAGAACCAGTTTATCTAACTCCTCATCATCATTATTATTCTGTATAGCAATTTATGTATGAGAAAATTGTTTGGAAAGAAAGTGGTGAAAGTAGCATACATACATGCAGATCTCTCCCAACGACTCGAGTTATATTGAGATTTGAGATTAGTTGGTTTATGACATGGTATCATAGTTGGTTTGTTCTTTGATGTCACGTGTTCAAGTTTTCACGATCCCCAATATTAATTAATCGTGATCTCAAAGCACACATGGTATGGTTGGGCATGTGCAAACTTCAAAGCCAATGAGTTGGCTTTCGTTTGGGGGGGGGGGGGGCGTGTAAAGAAGTGGTTAAGTACCATGCATGGACCTGTCACAACAACTCGAGTTATTGAGACCGGTTGGTTTTATGACATTATTGATTTTTCGAACAATGGCGCAGGTTTCATGAGATTGGAGGAAGTGAACATTACAAAAGGAACGGGTTCGGAGTCGAAGCATGTCGTTCGAGTTCAAGGGGAGAGATTCGACTCACAAGCAAACAAACGCTACCGTTTCGACACCACCTTTATTGTCCCGCTGGAGTACGATATCTCGCCGCCGATGGATGCCAAGCTCGAGAGCGGTGGGATTCTCACCATCACCTTCCCCAAATTCTCCTCCTCCTCCTCCTCTTCTTCCTCTTGGAACTCATCCGAATCCCAGACTCAATCTCAGTCATCCTCCGACGAAGAATCGCCGCTACGTCCTTATAGTCCACCCAAAACAGACGATAAGCATGAAGGTGGAGGTAATAAGAGCGTTTCTGGCAAAAATGTGTCGGGGAAGGAGAAGGCGGCAGTTGATCAAGAGAGAGGAGAAATGACTACCCAGTACTCCCCTGCTTCTCATCAGGGTCTGTCCCCTGCATCCGACTTGATCAAGCGCACTCGCGATAGTCTTCTCAGAGATGAAACTATGGGACGAGGAAGGGGCGGACACGACGGTGGCAAGGGAACGACGAAGGTGGATGCGGAGAACAAATTGGCGGACCAATTGGCGCATAATAAAAGAGGAGAGAACGAAGGGGACAACGAGATTAAGAAAGAATCATCGCCAAGTGTAGGAGGAAGAGACGATGGTGATCATGGAGGTGGAAGTAAGAGTACCTCCGGACAGAAGGTGGCAGAGAAGGAGAAGGAGGTAGATCGAGAGAGAGGAGAAAGGGCGGGGCAAATGCAATTGATGGCGAATATGGGTGTGGCAGTGGCCGTCATCGTTACGCTTGGAGCCTTCAATTATTATTTCACGTTCGCTTGAATGTGTTTATGTAACCCGTCTGGTTGTTAAGTGTCCTGTACTATATCTATTTATGACGCCTATTTCTGACAAAAAATAAATTGTAATAGGGTTTGTTAAAAAAATATAATAATATAAAAATAAAATTAATGTAAATGGTGGGCAATCACATCCTTTGTGCTTGGGGTTATCCAAGCCCATCTATCTAATCTAAAGAATATTATAAGGGATTTCTCAAAAAAGACTTCACGGATTTAAAATTCTCCTTCCCTCAAGCGTCCACGTCAACACAGCCTCTAGCCAATCAAATAATTAATAAAAAATAAAAGAAATCCAACCAACAAAAGGATCAGCCCTCCCTCGGTGGCACTTCCTCCATTTTTGGATTTTTTTTCTTTTCCAATTTCAACGTGCTTTTGCGTTTCTTCCTTTACATGTATTTTTCTTAAATAAAATATTTATATCTTTTAGGTATAAGTTACCATCTAAATTCATAAAAAAAAGTTACCATCTAAAACATTGCTACCGCATATTATATATTTAAACAATATATAAAATTTTCACCGTGTTTATAATAAGAAAAAAATACAGTTATATTTCATATGCACTAGCAAGTTGTAGTGTATATATATTGCATAGCATAAATAATTTGTGTATGTTGGGTAAGATTCGGTCCAAATATTTTAAATATTAGCTGCACATTAGTCTAAATTTTGAAAATTATGGAATGACACTTATTGTTTAAACATTTATTTTGAGTGTTCCATGCACTGCTATTTCATGAACTATTGTTTGATTTTTTTTGTTTGTAAAACTTTATATCCAACTGTTTCAAGATTGGATAAACGAGTCATTGTGAGTGTGATGATAAACAATTGATATATTATAATACGATCATGTTATACATTCAGCCAAAATTTAATATATCTCAATTTAGAGTTGAATGTTTTCACTTATAAACTAACTGATATTGTATCAATCTCGTGGGTGTACCCGGAGGGACTAAATTACTTTTGGTATATACGCCCCAAATTCTCAAACCATACATTCAAATCATACACAAAGAATAACAATATTTCTTGAACACTATATGAATATTAATTCAAGTATGACAACAAATTATTTAATATAAACATAGTGTATGCTTGAGATTAATGAGAGTTTCAAGATATAAACAAAATTTCTCAAAATTAATTTAATAGTTAAAGGAAACTCACCCGGCCAATGGCCGGGATCAAAGCCCATAGGGATGTAGGCCAAAGCCCAACCCCTCAAATTGCCGTTCTACATCGGACCTTGTAAACAGACCCGCACTTCCACTTCCAGCGTCGCAGTTTCATTTTTACCCGCGACGCTGCTTATTCGCGCTCCCCCTAGAGTCCCGCCGGCGACGGACGATCGAACAGTTCATCGTCGCTCGAAGATTGTTAGACACCTAGACTCGCCGTAAAACGTTGTCCCGTTGATTTGTTAGACTCTCGTCTCGAGTTGGGCGACTCAGAAGAAGTCCCGTCCATGCCTCTGCTTCGTCCGTCTTCTGCTTCTAATTCGGGTGCCCTACTCTACTGACTTAGATTGGTAGAATGCGGAGGAGTTCCAAGCTGGGATGCTTGCTTGTGGGATGCGGCAGCCGGTTCTACAGCAGTCAGCGCCGCCCACCGCTAAGCGCCAGGGCATCGTATTGCAGCTTGCTTTTCTTCCTCCCCAACAATTCGGCGACGCTGTCTACTAACTTCCGTTCCCTCCGTCGCTTCTCTAGCTACGCCGTCGAGCAATTCTCAGATGACGAGTACGAGTGCGACTTCGAGTCCCACAAGGTTTTTCAGTTTTTTTTTTCCCCTTCCTTTCGAGGGTTTCCATTTCTCCCCTCTTGTAGGTGTTTTTGCGATTATAAGTTGAAATTTGATTCACTGGACACGACCTAGTTGCACGGTTTCTATTGCGAAAGATGACTTGGTGGGATTTTTGAAGAAACGTTGTTTGGTGGATTATTGTAATGTCAGGCATCTTCTTCGGTGGCCAATATTGATGAGTGGAAATGGAAGATGAGCTTGCTGTTGCGCAGTGAGACTGACCAAGAGATTGTTTCCAAAGACAGGAAAGACAGGAGGGACTATGAGCAGATATCTAATCTTGCCCAACGGATGGGACTTTATAGGTGAAACTTTTTGAATCTTATGTTTATGATTCCTTATGTTTTCTTTTCTTTGGCTTTTCGGGTACCTAGTCTTCTTTTGAGAATCTACATTTATCTTGTGCATTGCTCATTTCCTATCCTAGTGAAATGTATGGGAAAGTGGTGGTTGCAAGCAAGGTTCCACTTCCAAACTACAGGCCAGATTTAGATGATAAGCGGCCGCAAAGAGAGGTAACATAGTCAAACCCTTGAATCTGCTTCATGTCTATTCTTCTGGGAGAAAATGATTAGTGTTCTACTGATTTTATGGACTGGCTAGCTAACCACGTTTCATCACAGCATTGAAGCTAGTAGCCTCGGTTTAGCTGCTAATATAGTGTTGCATGTTTCCAGTACACTTGACTCGGGGATTTTAATCATGTTGCCGTTGAACAGGTGGTTGTTCCTCTAAGCTTGCAGAGGAGGGTGGAGAGTCTGCTTCAGGAACATCTTGACAGAACTCAACTGACATCTGGAAGAGCTGATGGCACAACAGATGGCGGTAATCCTGCTGATTGTGCCGAGAGTCAGAGTCAAACGGAGAATCCAGATTCTTTCCTTGATGACTCTGTTATGGAGAAAGTTCTTCAAAGGAGGAGTTTACGATTGCGTAACATGCAGAGAGCTTGGCAGGTATGTAGTTTTCTCTCATCCTGATTTCATCTGGAAAAGGCCCTTAGAATTCATCTGTATAGTAAGCTTCCTGCTAACTATATCGGGAAAACTTGTTCCCTTCTATTATTAGAGGATTTTTCTTACTGAGCAGTAGACAACCTGAGGTGTCAAGGGCTGTTTGACATTATTGTTTCGATCGTTCTCCTGATTTAATCGATCACATTGATTGGATTAACTTTGGAGGTCTGTCGTCTTTGATGTTCTTTTAGCTAGTACCATGCAAAAGTGTAATTTAGTATATCTCTCTCAAGTTCTAGGACCCATTTCAAGTGATCCACGTCATTAAACTATTAGACAATCTTTCCCGCTTCTTGTCCATGGTAGCCCAAGAGTTGTTATGTAAATGTTTTTATCACCTAATTAACTTACAGGAATCACCTGAAGGCAAGAGGATGATGGAGTTTCGAAAGTCCTTACCTTCATTCAAGGAAAAGGAAAGGCTGCTTCAAGCTATAGCAAGGAATCAGGTTTGTGGATGGATCTCATGACCTTTACTTTAGCTAACATGGGTATAAAGGTCACTTTGTGAATGATAGTTGTATAATGATGCAATCTGCGATTGTAGATATGGCATAAGACAGTTGAATGTTTATATGAAAAAGTCAGTTGGATGCTGAAAGGGTGTTTGGTATGATGGAAATTGGTGTGGAAACCAGAGATTTTGATGGTTTTACCAAATTTGTTTTTCGTAATGATTAAAAGCGAGCTTGACCAAAGGTAAAAGTCTAAGAGGGGTTGTCTTGAACCCGTGTTTTGTAGAATGTGTATATTTTAAATATCTGTGCATTTGAAATAAGGGGATTCAATGAAGTGGTTGATTGTCCCTCATTAGGTGTTCAAATGATTAAAAGCGAGTTTAAAATTTATGCGGGATTTAGGATCCGTGATTCTTGGAGCATCACGGAGATTGAAATCACATAAACTGTACACCTTTTTTTTTTGTTTAGGTGGACAAGTACCTTATCTTTGGTTTACCATGTTATGGTCACAGGTTGTAGTAATATCAGGCGAAACTGGATGTGGAAAAACCACTCAGCTTCCCCAATATATATTGGAGTCTGAAATAGAATCTGGGCGTGGAGCATTTTGTAACATAATTTGCACACAGCCTCGGAGAATATCAGCCATGGCTGTTTCAGATAGAGTATCAGCTGAGAGAGGAGAGCCTCTTGGTGAATCGGTGAGTAAGTTTGCTCCAGTTAACAGGCTTGTGCCACTGGCATCTGCGGTCTTTGTCTGGAAAGTAGTATCTTCCCTTTGTTTTGAAACTTGTCAATTTTGGTGCTATACCACAACAGATATTTTCTGGTAGGTTGGTTACAAAGTTCGACTGGAGGGTATGAAAGGGAAAAACACCCATCTGCTGTTCTGTACAAGTGGAATTTTACTTCGGAGGCTGCTAAGTGACCGCAACTTGAATGGTGTGACTCATGTTTTTGTCGATGAAATTCATGAACGGGGCATGAATGAAGGCAAGTCTCATTTTCCTTCCTTTTGTTATAGTATCCAATAAAGGAATATTGTACCAAACGTGAGTTTAGGAGATTTGGGTGTTTAATGACCTAATTTTGTTAAATTGTTGTGCATTGGTTTTTATCTGCAACAGACTTCCTACTGATTGTGCTCAAGGACCTTCTTCCTCGACGTCGCGACTTACGACTGATTTTAATGAGTGCCACTTTGAACGCTGAACTCTTTTCGGCTTACTATGGAGGAGCACCTACAATTCATATACCGGTAATGTGTTTATGTTATTACCTGAGCACTGTTGATTCTTTTGGGATTCAGGAAGTGGATGCAATGTGAATGTTTTGCTCCCCTATAACACCTGAGTTCGCAACAAGTCAGATAGCTTTTTAGGTTAGTGTTATGTGCTTGAAGTATTGGCAGCTTGTATTGAGGTAGTGGAAAAGGTCTTATTGTTTGTTGGTGGGCGTTATTGTTGTACTTCTGAATGTCGTCATCTGGATCATAATGGGATGACTAACCTGCTCGTGGTTTTTGTTCTAGGGCTTTACCCATCCAGTCAGGGCACACTTCTTAGAAGATGTGCTGGACATTACAGGATATAAGCTGACTTCCTTTAATCAAATTGATGATTATGGACAAGATAAATTGTGGAAAACTCAGAAGCAGCTGACTCCAAGGAAAAGGAAGAATCAGATCACTACACTTGTTGAGGTACACACTTCATTAGGGGGGAAATAATCAGCTGATTTTGACTAAGTGAAATTTTTTAGAATCTATCTTATTGATTGGTTATTTAAAAAAAAAAAATTTATATTATTTCAAAATATCTTCTTGATTGGTAACATTGGATCACTTTGTCGACCTTTA